GCATATATTACAAAAGCATACTATTCGCTGCATGTCTGACAATTGTATAAAGTTTTGCAGGTCGTCTTTTTTTTGTGCTGTGCTGTCAACCAAAGCATAAATATGTGTTTCTCTGTACATAAAAGTTCAATTTCACATGATTTGTTAATGGTAATGTATGATAATAAAAACTTGATAATATTTTTCTGGATTCTTGCACTTTATTTGTATCATTGTCATATGAGAAGTACTCTTGTCCTTATTTAGAGATATTGAAACTAATTCAGGGCCACAAACTACATGTAGATCTGTACATGAAGTACATGGGAAGTAAAGTTGTAGACACAGGTAATGTACACCAAGGATTGTCATTCATGACCTGTTTGATTGGATAAAGTTTTACGACTTGGGGGCCATTTTTCCCCCTCAAAAATCTTTAAAAAAAACAAGCTTTTTCTAGCTGTTAACAGCTTTTTCTCAGATGTGTGTCATCCCGTTTTGTTCAAAGTTGGTACAGGGACAGGTAATAATTGTTTACAAGTGCACATCGCATTATATGTTTAACAAGTTATAAATTGTCTCAGAAAAGCCAAATGAATATATTTTTACCCCACCCCCTAAAATTGTAACACATCAATTCTGAACATTTAATAACAGAATTTTAATACAGCTCATAATGAATTAATTCACTCTGACACAAACTAAGTTCAATATAAGTTTTTAAATTTTTTTCTGAGCGGGGGCTATGACATGTCATGTCTTGTTTTATTTTTCAGATTGGATTCAAAATGGCTGACTGGCGGCCATTTTGTTTTGATGATTGGGCTTCTAGAGCCATATCTCTTAAATGCTTTGACTGATTATATTCAAATTTTATATATTCGTTATACATCATGTTATATATATACATGTATTCAAAATGGCTGATTTTGAATACTGTTCCAGAGCAATATCTCTCAATATGGACAAGTACTTGTTTGACGATCAGATACAAATGTCAATCATTTTAATGTTAAAAAAAATCATATTCCTGACATGGTTATATTCCAGCTATATTACTATAAACAAAACTATATATCTTAAATTTGATAACTAACTGGGACTGTGCCATGCATGGTTTGTTTACATTATGTTGATTTCTATATCATTCTGGGTCGCTTTGCGATGTTGTACCAAGACTTGTGCAAATAAGTGTTCTTCTGCAAACTATTAGAGACTACTTTCAAAGCTTCTGGTGCCACTGAATTGTTATTATTTGAACTTAGCGTCAAGTAACCTGTTAGTTTCCCAGTTTTTTGTGTCTATTCATGGTCTTAAAAATAGGTGTGAATTGCTGTGCGAGTCTACTGCACAAGATTGCTGCCAACCAGGGTCATGGAATCTATGCATAAATTTGCATAAAATGCGGTCGACTGGTGTGCACCCACCACCACCACCACCACGGTAATGATCGAGGTTAACTGCCAGTTTAATTTCCTACTCTCACCTAACAATGCCAATGATGTAAAGAATATTTTAAGCATACTAATTTCTTGGTTCCTCTCCTCAAATTTAAATATTCATACATTAATCAAAATAAAGGTTTATTAATTTGCCAATACCATGATCGGTTTTGTATGGTGCATGTAAGTAAACTCTGATCCTGCTTGAAAGCATTGGTCTTATCGCTACATGCATTCAAATAGCAATGTCAACAATGTAGTTTTTGCACATTTTAGATATGGGACCTGTATCAAACACTTTGCTATAAGACAAATGCACTTTCAGTAATTGTTGATATGTACAGTTTTGTGATCAGCTTAGCTTAGATTTCACTTTGTCACTAACGAGTGCCGTTTGTCGTCTTTCAGTTTACACGATCGTAAAATGTGTGCCTTAGGTCTCTGTACGTTGATGAGTTTACCCGGCAGACCCGATACAGTGAGCGTACTCGCATCTCAGTTCTTACCATCACTATTACTCATATTTAAAGGACTTAACAGGGCGTACGAAAGTAAGTACTGTAAATAGAATCTGTTTACTGAAAAATCTGTATTAGAAGTCGCGTCTTCTATCAAAATGGAACAAGAGGGGCTGCGGTTTCTATTAAACATCTACACATATGAATTTTTGGTTTTCAATTGTTCAAAAAGAGATGTAGCTTCTAATACAGATTTTACAATACTAAAAGCATTTTGTGTTACAATGCAACAACTTCAAAAAATGCGTTGTAATTGAGTACATATGGCAAAATCCAACTGAAATTTAGAGAAAAAAAACAGATATAAAAACATTTTGAGTAGCAATTAATTCGATTTGGGAAACAAAAATCACTGCCAACTCATCTTGGAATCAATTTCCGCAATGTTCTTTTCTTGCATAATTTAACCTGCAACAACGTCCTTTGACCTAATAGGTTAAGTCTGTTATAAACCAATAAAAAAAAAGGCAGCATAATTTTTAATTTAAGCACAGTTGCCATGCTCTACGCATTCGCACAATATTCACAGCGATCAGTATCAACAATGTATTATATAAATTTCATTGCCGATATTCAGAAAAGTGAAACATTGCTCAATCCATAGGTTTTATAACTAGGCATGACATAAGTGGGGGTGGGTGCTTAGTCGAGCATTGGTACTAAGTCGGATAAGTACGGTATCGTCATCTGGTTAAGCTGGGTGGATGAAAGGAGAATTTTAAATTATCGTTTGCTTCAAATTTACACCTTGCTCTTGAATCACATTGATGCGGATCAACGATTTGTCCATGTGGTTTGTATGAAAGGCCAAGTTGATTTCACAGTAAAAATGTTAAACTAATGATGTTAATATAATCCAAACATTTGCAGTTTGCTGGTTTCGCTATCTATCTATTATGTTTTCTTGGTTAATTAAAGGCAGAGCACAGGCTGAAGTGGACAGCGAAGATGAAGACATCGATGATGACGACGACGATGAGGACTTTGAAGAGGTTTTGGAAAGTGATGAGGACGAAGTAGACGAGGATTCTCAGCAGTATTTGGATATGTTAGCAAAGCGGGTGAGATAATTTTGTACGTTGTTCTGTAATAACGAGTAGGGATAGCAATCCAACTTCTAGAACATATGCGACTACTATTGTTTGATGTCATGGCTATCGGTTGAAGTTCTCAAGAACTCATCAGCACCATGTTTTGTTATTAAACAAAATCTGATGTCATGATTACTATGTTAGCATAGAGAAAACTATTGAATCTGCCAGATATTTATAAATAAATTGGTAAATTTTTAATTGTTGCATCATCTTCGAAAAAGTGTTTTTTTTTTCCCGTATTAAGTTAATTAACTAACTCTGTAGTCAGCGTGAAGTCATAACCCACCTTGAAACAGGGACTGTAATCCAGTCTCCATCTATCCGTTTGGAGTCGTATATCAGAACTTGTCGACCAAATTTGTTCATTCTTTGCATGTGCCTAGTACTTTATCTCGGACATGTGCATATGCACATGCAGTGCTTTACTGATTCAATCCAAGATGGCTGACTGGCAGCCATTTTGTTTTTTGAAAATGTGGTATCTTGTGCATCCTTTGTCAGTTTTTGTTCAAATTTGGTACATACATTAAACATGTATATTACGATTTGTTTCGCGATCGGATCAAAGATGGCTAAACATTGATCAAAAAATGCAGGAATAGCACATCCTATTTAATTTCTGATCATACATTACGATTTTGGAAGTGTCGCTTAATACAATTAATTTGTGTTAATACTAGACCAGCCAGTTATTCACTATTATTAACTATTCTTTTGGTCACTATTACTTTATTCTTGGCATGAATAACATTTCCCCTAATTGTTATGTCATTAACAAGGACTTGTTGAATTTGCTTCACCCAGGAGCATTTTATTTTCATACATTGTACATACATTTAAGATTTTCATTAATGCTAAGTGTCTTGTCGTCTTTCCTATGAAGGCTGGTGAAAACTTAGGTGATGATGACCTCGAAGGGTTTGAAGAGACTGCTTTAGAAAGCTACAATACGCCACTTGATGACGACAACTGCCCAATTGATGAGTATATGGTATTTAAAGAGGTCTTACAAGGTATGTGTTTATTACTGTTTTCATGAACATATTTCCACCATTGTTAATTGTGTTTTTCTCAAAAATGCCAAACCCCAATCTAAATCTACATGTTAAAGTCTAAGCAGAATTACATGTATATATCCCGTTTATATTTTTAAAAAAGATTAAAGAATTCTTTCCAATATTTATCCCAAAGTTTCAGCAGATAAAACGTATATGGCTGTGAAATGGTAAATTATTTCTGGTAACATTACTTTTTTTATTACAGGGTTGCAAGTACAAGACCCAACTTGGTATAATGCATTAACAGGGAATTTAACTCGAGAACAACAGCAGGAAGTACAAGAAATTCTTGTGTTAGCCGATCAAAGAAGAGCCGCTGCAGGTGAGATTTTTTTCCCCCGTAACAACGTATTTTATGTACCCAGTTTATTTCACAGAACACATCTTTATTGTTGGCTTGTTAATTTTTGGAAGTTTCACTAAATGCACAAGATTTTGTTATTGAACACGAGCAAAAACCTAAAAAAAAAATGCACTCTCTATTTCCCTCCTCTATCGAGGTGAATACATAACTTGAAGACAACTTAACTTACTTGATCTAGCTTCAAGACCTTATCATTATGTCTTGTTTGTCCATTCATTGTTACAATTTTATGAAATTTTTAAATCACTGATCTGTTTTATTTTTCAACAGAATCGAAGAGGATACAAGAAGTTGGGGGATACCAGTTCACCCAAGTGACAGTGCCTCAGACATTTAACTTCAGTCCACCACCTCCTGCCCCTCAGTAAATAACCTGCAAACCCGAAAATTTATAATAATAATATTATATCTTCCGAATTCACTTTATGACTGTACCATTATTGACTTTATAGGGTAGGCAGCTTATGTAGAGATGTGCCATACATTAAAAATATATAAAGAAAAATAAAAGTGTGAGTACGGCACAAATAAAATAATTTACAGGCTGTTTTGCAATGCTTCAGAGATTTCCTTTTTAACTTTAAAAGTGTTAGAATTCTCTAAAAGATCAAATCAAATTTGAATTTATTTTCCTTTATATTCCACATTCATAATGTTTTCCCTCCAGGTTTTTATTTACCTCCCTTGAAATGAATTACTGTGAAATACTTTATTTTCGCTGGAATTTATTTTCGCTGAAAAGACTTTTTGGGTGTTTTGTATAGAATTTATTTTCACTGATTTTTGATGGGTTTAATGTAAAATATAGGAAAAAAGGTATATTCGCTGGATTTTATTTTCACTGAATCATTCCTTCAGCGAAAATAGCGAAAATTAATTCCAAGCGAAAATAAAGTATTCTACAGTACTCAGTTAAAATGTCTACTCCCAGGGTTCCTCAGGTCGCAAACTCCCTAGGTTGGAATATATTCCTAGCTTTGTGATTTAGAAGACTCCCTAGATTTTTTAGTGATTCTCATCCATCATGAACAAACTCATGCTCTGATTCAGGAGGAGAAATTCATTTTGAAATATTTCCTAGATTGAATGTTGAAACCAGTTTTATATAAATGCTATATAAATAACATTACACAAAAAAGTAGAAAAAAAATTTCGGATTGCAGTAATTTGATTTATTGCAATACTGTTTTGCTGTTATTTGGAAAGTCCAGGTTGATTGTGAAGTTATTGGGTAGATTACTACTTGATGGCACTGGGGAAAGTAAATCATGTATTGTGGGTTATAAAGCATTGTTTGTTTGTTTTCTGTACCCTTTTGTATGCAGAAATGTGTGAACAAAATCAGTGTTAACTATAATTTGATTAAGATTTTAGAAATTTGAATCTATTCAAATTCTATTATTTTGAACTCTGAAAGACGATGGTAAAAGATCTGTGTTCTGCCAATGAAATATTATTGATTACCATGACTAAGAATAATCTTGAAATCGTCTTTAATAACACTTTGTTATGAGGAGTTGGTTTACAGATTTTTTGATGTTCTTAAAAAAAAATTCAAAAGCGTGTCAAATTTGAATTTTATTTAAGTTATTTGCTTACTCATATTGTTTTGGAATTTGTAAATTTCTGTTATGACAACTGTAGCGAATAGATGTACAAGGTCTGGTTTTAATTTGCTTTTGCATGGCTCTCAACTATTGGTCAGCTGATATCCAAGATCTGTCCAATCCCTGAGCAGTTCTCATACTGTAATGTCTGGCTGGGTGTATCTTTATACTTTACTCTGTCTGCCCAGATGTCTTGCTGTTTTCGGCAATCACTTCTTTTTATTTTGACTAAAAAGTGCATATCCATTTTGGTGGCATCTGTTGATGGGCGTAGTGTGAACAAATCTCAACTTGCAGAAATAATGATTATGTAAATGGGTTTTGATAATTTGTTGCGAAAGCTGAAATCCTACCGTACATGTACTTGCTTGGCAATTTAAATCAAAAATTAATCTTTAAATATTTGTTTTATTAATGTTTAAAGCAGGCTTTTAGCAGTGATAAGCAGCTGAACATGGGATTAGTTACCGAATATTTTTTGTAGTTCTCCCCCCCCCCCCCCCATATGAAGTCAATTGCTAGATTTGGAGCAGTGACTCTTACCCAGTGATGCCATGTTGTTCCATTCTTTGCTGGTTAGGGGGTCCTTGTAAGAAGGCTCTAAGCACGTTCTGTTCATTTTTTATTTTTGCATGTTGTGGCAGTAACTCTTTAACAACAACAAAATAACCAGGTTTCAAGCAATTAGATTTAAGACAAATTTACAAGAAAGGTACACTTTTGATAACCCCAAAACCTCCACAATAGTAATTGACAGACTTTTTTATCACAAATTCCTGTCATCTATTACGATTGCTATTTAAACATTGAACATTTATCTGAATATAAAGATCTTTTTTGATTCTATCAATAGTTAAATCCCTCCCTCCCCCCCCCCCCCTCCCTTCTCCCACCACCACCACCACCACCACCACCACCAAATAGTCGTAAAACTGATATCGGTAATTACACCAAAGGTATGCCATATTTGCTTTGACATGGATGTATAAAAAGATGTTTCAGGGCTTTGTAATTGGACACATTTGCCATCCAGCGTTGAACAAATGAATCAGCTGTCAGTCGCTACAGCTGTGGCACCTCCTTGTGAATATACCATGAACATCTTTTTCCCTTCCCCGATTTATAATGGTTTGGTACTATTACATGGTTTAGTCCATTGTATTTATATATTTAAAAAAAAAGTGGGATGAGGAGCTTCATCGTATGTTTTTTTTCTTCAAAATATTTAGGGATAGATTTAAAAGAAAAAAATTGTGACTTTCTATGGGATTCAAACACTCAATGTAAATTATTTAAAAATTTGTGGAATAAATTTTGTAATATTAATGAAATTAACTAGTCAATTTTCCTATTCAGGGAGTAAATTCTGGTTGTATCCCAGGTCATTGGCACTGTAGCTTTGTTATATTTTTTAGTTTTGTTGAATGGTTGATGAACTGATGCGGCATGTGTATGCGCAGTTGTCGCATACTGCATATTTTGTACCTTGACAACCGTTGAATAAAGCTGACGATAATAGATGGAATACAATTTGGGTGTGGCTGTCAAAGCGTTAATAGAGAAAATTGAGACACTCGAGTTAATGTGAATGTTTCATATTGTAGTTGACTTTATTTTGACGCCGTCATTAATAAGTCAACTCTGCTATGTGCCGAAAAAATAGCGACTTGTACTAAATGACTCAGATGTGGTCTGTTTGCAGAATGGGATTCTGATGAATAAATAATTATTTATTTTCGGGATGACAATTCTATTGGATACTCTTCCAGTTTTTCAGCTCGTGTTAGTTTTTACTGTTGTGTAACTCGCTGCATACATTTTTTTTCCTGCGACAAAAATAATGCATTTTTTATGTGCACCGCAATATTTACAGATTTTACCCCTACTTCAATTTCAGGATTTTTCATGTAAATGTCAAAAAAGGACATCACATTTTGGATTAAAATTATTAAAAATCTGTTTGATGCATGAAAGAAGTTATGTGGTCGAGTTAAACAACAGGTTCAACGTTGACCTATTAGCATTTCTATAGACTTAATTGTACAGTTGTGAGCCAATCATGGAAGAGTATCGCGCATAATGAGTGTTTGAATTTCTACAGAAACTGTGTCATTTTTGTTTTTTTTCTACAAACAGTTGATTCAATAAACAGACCTTTTTCAGTATAAAAAGGTAGCTTCATGGTGTTTATTTTTTAAGTCGATTTACTTCAGTCGTCTGAAAACTGACTGTTTCTCTAATGTGCAGAGTTTGGTTTTTGTCAAACTTTGGCACTTGTTGTAAAAATGCACATCAATTAATTTTTTTGGGGTCCTATCAATCTGTTGATATTTGTAATTATTCTTAATAACGCGTCAAAAAACAAGCCCTTCTCTAAAAGCTTTAGATTGACCTAGACTTGGCTGATTTTAATCAAACTATTGCTCACAATCTGTATCCATGTAGAACAACTGAAGCTTCTCTGCTTTTCTGGCATGCAATGCAAATACCAGAGATTTTTGTTCTGAATGGGAAAAATGGACTTCAGAACAGCGTAACCAGATTAGTTCAAAACCTAGGATTGACCTTCATCTGTCTGTGCATCGTATTCAGCTGTACATGTATCTTGCATATACCTGCACTGAGCAAGTTCAAACTTGACCTTTTTACCACCAGTTCATTTTTTCATCTCAAATTCACAAAATATTCCCATTTATAGTCTGCACTTTCCTTCAGAATATATGGAGAATGCTCAAATTAGTTAAAATTGACCCGAATGTTTGTCTGCTGGCTCCCAAATTAGGGTACAATTCAAGAAATATTGAAGGATACCAGAATAAAGTACAAAAAAATTTGAGTGAGAAAGTTGTGGAAAGGAGCGGACATGTCGGACGTATTCAAGATGGCCAAATGTCTGCCATTGTAAGGCATTTTCACCATTTGAGAACTGGATGCCAATCGTGTGTAAAGCATGTCATTTTTACCTTGCCTGTACCATCAAAGATGGAAGGGAAAGGTATATTAAGGGAAAAATTTTGTCCGTCGTTGTCGTCGTCGTCGTTGTCGTTAATAATTGTTATTGTGTGCATAATAAATTTACTAATTCTATTCCAAACTTTATCAAACTTGGTCACCTTATTCATCAGTATAAAGTCTTCCCTGAGTTTGAACAACAGATGTCCTGTATGAAAATATGCAAAAATTGAGAAAATCTGATAAAATATTTTGACTGTTTCTACTTGACTGATCACTGGTGATATACATTCAAAGGTCACTGATCTCAGTGGAAATGTGCATT